AATCAGTATTATGCGTAACTATCTGACCAATGAAACATAAAACCCTGTAAATAATACAAATTGTTGTTAACCCCTTGAATCCTAAGTTTCTAAATTTGCAAATACGTCAGTGAAACTGACATGGGTACATTAAAATAGGCAGCAAATCAGGGCTGGAGTTGTGGCTCAGAGGAAGAGCGCTCACCTAGCATGCATGAGGCACTGGGTTTGATCCTCAGCACCACATAAAAATAAAATTAAGGTATTGTGTCCACCTACAACTAAAAAATAAACATTTAAAAAATAGGCTGCAAATCAYAATCTAAAGCTTATATATCCTTTGTTATCATTAAGAATGCTAATACAATACACAATGGAATATTACTCAGCAATAAAAGMGAATAAAATGCATGGCATTTGAAGGTAAATGGATGGAGTTAGAGAAGATAATGCTAAATGAAATTAGCCAATCCCAAAAAACAAATGCTGAATGTTTTCTATAATATAAGGAGGCTGATTATAGTGGGATAGAGAGAGCGGGCATGGGAGGGATAGAGAACTCTAATCAAACTATAATCCAGTCAAAGTTGTTTTTYTAAAGGGAGAAATATCCTCTGGCACAAGAGTTTGGATGAAGTTCCTATTTACTACTTCCCTGATTTGATAGGCTAAAGGGTGCAGAAACCATCAACAAAGAAAATGCAATTCTTAGGCTGCAAAATCAGCAGAATGTGCAATAAAGTCAGTGCTTTGTGGATTGTATGTATGTATAGAGAGAGGTGGGAAGGAAAGGGAGGGAGCATGGGGTTATTAATGATGGTGGAATGTGATGGACATTATTATCCAAAGTACATGTATGAAGATACATATTGGTGTGAATATACTTTGTATACAACCAGAGATATGAAAAATTGTGCTCTATATGTGTAATAAAACTTGTAATGCATTTCTGCTATCATATATAAATTTTAAAATTTTAATTAAAAATAAATAAATAATAAATAAAATGATAATACTGATTTAAAAAAAGGAATGACAATACAGATTGTCCTTTAAATAGAACACTGGGGCATTATAGTATCTTTTCCATATATAAACATCTCACAAACAGGAGATTGGGCAAATATGATATCTGGGAGGATGGGACAACATGGGCTAGGGAACAATCACTGAAATGTATTTCATTTTACTCTAAATATAAAAGTGAAATCAACCCTAAATATCTAGACTGTGGGAAACTACATAGGATAAACAATCTGGTTTCTTCAGCAAATAAATTACAAAAAAGAAAGATAAAATTTAAAATCTATTTTATAAAACCTCAACAGGCAAAACTAAATTAAAAAGATACATACCTCAGTGATAAAACTCTATAGGAGGGGGTACTCATAAAATCAGATTGGTGTTTGCAAGTGTCACTGGAGGTGCAGGGCTTGGGTGTATGAAGCAGCAGGTKCAAGAGCTGGCCAAGCTCTATGGCTTGAACTGGACAGAGGATGTAAAGGTGCGTGCTTTTAGTTAATCAACCCATACGTTGTTTGACATGAGTTTCTGTGTTGGTGTTATATTTTTACAACTAAAAATATTTTTAAAATAAAACTATAATCGAAAGATTCACCAAAGCAGCTATTACAAATTTTTTCATACTAATGTATTTCTTTCCCCACATTCACACTCACACCCTTAAATCAAATGCACTGCATCTGTGCAATAAAGTCAGTGCTTTGTGGAGTTTTCACAAAAATTCTATGGCACTTGAAAAGAACCATTTAATATACTGGCTTCTGGCCACTGTTTAAATCTGGCATGATGATTTTGACTATAATTTTGCTTCTTCAAGACATATATGTCCATGTTTATGACAACCAACACACACACAAAAATTCTGAATTTAGCTTTCATTTCATATACCCTTTTTCATTTACCTCAGTCCTAAGACAAATGTCAACTTTAAAAAACAAACAACAATGGRGACAAAAAAGAAAAACACAACAAAAATTGTAAGTCTCTTAAGGAAGGTTCTGTGAGCTAAATTATATTCCCCCTCCAATTCCTATGTTGAAGTCCTAACCCCCAGAATCATAAAAAGACATAGGAGAAGACAATGCACAAGCCCAGAATAAACCCTGGACACCTTGATCTCAGACTTCTCACCTCCAAAATTATGAGATAACAGATTCCTATTATTCTATTATGGCAACCATACCAAACTAAGACAGAAAGCAAAGAAAAGGTAGAAAAAATTAAGGCTTTCTTTTTWAAAAGGCAGTAGAGAGAAAGAAAACAAAAAAGTATGAAATGTTACAATTTTGTTTGACCTATAATAAATAATGAAAAGAAAAGTTTAAGAGAATTCTGAGTTATTAACAAAAAAAGAGTACTCAACCAGATTCCACAAAAAAAGGAAACATCCCAGAGAACTAAGAACAGAGGGCAGGACATGAGGAGACCAGCAGGGAAGTAATTGACTACTGGCTTTGGATTTTATGAGCAGGATTGAGCACTTTCAATATGGTTTCTGGAAAAAAACCAGGGGAAATTTTTGAGTGAGATTTTTAAATGGACTGGAAACACAATGGAGGTGATGGGTGAAATCAAAGTTGTTTTCTTAAAGGGAGAAATATCCTCTGGCACAAGGGTTTGGATAAAATTCCTATTTACTATTTTCCTGATTTGATAGGCTAAAGGGTGGAGAAAACCATCAACAAAGAAAATGCAATTCTCAGGCTGCAAAATCAGCAGAATGTGCAATAAAGTCAGKGCTTTGTGGATCGTATGTATGTATACTCATGGAGGCTTACAACCTCAGAGMAGGGTACACTTTGCTGATTAAGTGTGAGTTTCCTAAAAAGGATATTACAGCAAGGAAGGCAGACAGCTGTTTGTTGGATCCACCCTACATGCTCATACTTGCATTCCACCACTCCCCTGACAGACATAGAAAGAAATGGATAGGAAACTGCCTGGTTTTTCTCCTCTTCAACAAAACAAGAAGAGATAACCACATTTAGAAAAACTGTGTCATACAAACAAGAGAAGTGAATCAAATAAACAGGGGTGAGAACAAAAGGAAACAGAGACTCTAACTCTAGGTAACTTTTTTCAAACTATAAGCAAAATTACTCCATTCTCCTATGTCCTACCTAGGAGTATCTGATATTTTTTTCTGCAGGAAGGCAGTGATTTAGATCAACCATTCAATTATCCTTAAGCTGGAATAATTTTGTGGAGGGACTAGCCTAATTATTATATTTAGGTCACTTGAAAAAATAAACAGGTTTTGTTTTTAAGTCTGTATCAGTTAGAAATGTATTTGTAATGTAGGTTGAGCATACCTTATCTGAAAATCCATGACCAAAATGTTCCAAATCCAAAAATTTCTGATCATCAATACAAAACATTAAAAGTTTCCTATTTTATCACATTTTGGATTTTGGAGTTTGGGTTAGAGATGCTCAACCAGGAAAAATCTATTCAAATATTCCAAAGTCCAGAAACATGAACTTTGAAACACCTCTGATTGCAAGCATTTCAGGTAGAGACTTATTTACTAGCAAAATGTTGTAATATCTGAAATTTGCTTTCAAATACACAAAGTTATTGTAATGTTGATAGCAGCTGATGCTGGAAATGGATGTGAGAGAGGTTCATTATATTTTAGCTTCTGTATGTTTGACATTTTCCATAATAGTTTTCATGGGCTAAGGGTATAGTTCAGTAGTATAGTATATACTATATGTGGCATGTATAAGGTCTTGAGTCTAATCCTAGCACCACAAAAGACGACGACGAAGACGAAGATGAAGATGAAGACAAAGACAAAGAATAATTATTCTAGTTAACATATAAAAATAATTTAAAATTCAATTTCCTCTGGTATGGTTAAATAGAAAAATGTAATTTATTTTGGTTATCAAAAACAGAATTCAATTTGAATAAAAATCTTTTTATCATAATACAGGTTAAATAGGAAAATGGTGAACATAGGCTTTATAGGAAAACAACTTGGGAAAATGTTCACAATATGTTACAGCATTTACTAAAGAACAAGCAAGATATAATATTATAGATACGTATGGTACTATGAAAAAAATATAAATATGTGAGAACAAAAAACACTAAAAGGAAATGTAACAAAATGGAAACAAATTTAACCTCGCTCGCTACTTACAAGTTTTCTAAATAAGAATGTATCAAATTTGTATTCAGCAAAAGAAACATGGACAAATGATATATTATCAGATAAGGTAGAATAGAATGTGTGAACACTTTAGAACAGATGTACACTTGCCCAAACTCACATTGAACAGAAGGTCTACACATCAGTACTCTTGGTCTCCTATGTCCTAACGTACACCATTAGTCCATCATTACCCTGGGGAGAAACACATTCTCTGCCTCTGGAGGAGGCTTCTACTTGTATTTCAAGGTTTTCAGAGCTTACCTGTTATAGCCAGTATTCTGAGATACACCTTCAGGTATTTTAAATTCCCTGAAACATCTAGTAGGTCTAATGATTTTACACTTTAATTGGGGAAAGTCTTTGACACACAAATGCAAAGCCACACACTTATTCTGCACCTGAGATATCACTACATCTTTTTTTTTTTTTTTTAGTTGTAGATGGACACAATACTTTTATTTTATTTTTACGTGGTGCTGGGGATTGAACCCAGTGCCTCACACACGCTAGGCAATCACTCAATTACTGAGCCACAACCCCGGCCCTTCACCACATGATTCTCAAGAATTAACCTTAAAAGCAAATTCCAAAAATTATTTTCTGTAACATAATCTAAAAAGAACTACTTTCAACTACCTTAATCCTACAAAATATAACTATAATAATTTTGACAGTGTGCTAAGAATTTTTTTCTAATAACTGAAAGTTTCATTTTTTYCAAAAAATATTTTCAAACCTCAAAACCATCCTTTAGATGTATCACTGAAAATTGAAATCACGTGCAGTAGTGTATTGAAGAGTTTCAAAATTTCCYCCAAAAGAAGGAAAATTCACTTACTTTGCTTTGCACAGTCTTGCCTCCATGTTCGATGTGCCTCTCTATGTAATCCGAGGACAACAAATCACTGCAATGACAAGAAGAAAAGATGACAAAAGAGCACCAGTAAAGTCTATGAAGATCAGGATCAAGTTCACACACATCTGCTTTAACAATTCTTTAACTATATTTTAAAACAAAATCCACACATTATAGGAACAGAAAGAACAAACCCAGGATTTCTAAAAGGAGAGGAGGTTGAACTGGCTATCCCACCTGTCATCCAGTTGCTCATCAGCAGATTGCCTGGGTCCAGGCAGTAATTCTAGGAAACTACTGTAAGCACACCTTTTTTCTCCCCTTGCACTAGAGATTGAACTCAGGGCGCTCTGCCACTGACCCATACCCCCAACCCTTTTTACTTTGAGTTGAGGTCTTGCTAAGTTGCCCAGGTTGGTCGGGAATCCTGGGTCCTCCTTCCTGCCTCAGACCAGAGTAGCTAGGGTTACCAGCATGCACTACACACAGCTTCAGCACACCATTATTTTAAAGACATTTTATTCTTGTTTTTTCAAACTTCAGCTTTTTATCAAAAAGTTTTAATTGACTACTATATCTTACCATTTCTTTATGAGTTACGTGTAATACTTTTATCTGACAAATTACTAGTTTCCATCACACACACACAAAAAGAGGGGAAAATTAAAAGAAATGAAAAGGAATGTACCATAAGCACTTTAAAATTACTTTCTTTTTAAGCCTCTTCTCAACAATACCTTCTTATATAAACTTAAATATTCATAGAACCTTAATATGCTTTAATCCCATATATGTGAAAACTTTTCCCTTTTAAGAGAAGTACTGCAAGACACACTTTCTATAAGAAGTCTTTAATTTTTTAAAAGCAGTAAAATATTAGTAAAATTGTCATCAATCAATAAAAATACATGAAGTTAATAAATTTATTTTTTTAAAGAGAGAGTGAGAGGGAGAGAGAGAGAAAATTTTTTTAAATATTTATTTATTTTTTAGTTTTCGGTGGACACAACATCTTTGTTTGTATGTGGTGCTGAGGATAGAACCCGGGCCGCACACATGCCAGGCGAGTGGGCTACCGCTTGAGCCACATCCCCAGCCCAAAGTTAATAAATTTATAATGTTACTCTATTTATAGTCATTGAGCCAACTAAAAAAATCTTTCTTCAAATACTCTGTAGGTTTCTCAGCCAAAATTATCACACTCATAACAAAGTTAATATCTGAGCACATAGGCCCATCGTGATGAGCACCATGCCTACAATTGCTTGAAATATAAACGGAATGTGCAAACATGCATTACATTCATGCAGGCACCATAAGGCTCTAGAATCTGATGCTTATGTTACCATTTAGGGAACCTATAATTATAGTCTAAGTCCATGCTTCATTGCTCTTGGGAATATATTTTCATATTAACTTTATATGGGACCCAGCCAGGATGCTATAAGCCTCAAGCTGCTGAAAACATAACTAAAAGTGGCTAAAACAATCAAGATATTTATCATCTTCTTATTAGAAATTCCAGGGCAAGTGTAATATGAATTTCCATTTGAGAATATTCTGTTCTGTTAATGACTATATTTGAAGTTTATAAAAATTATAAACAAAACCGTTAAAACATTTTAGGTATAGATGAGTAGTTAGTAAGCAAAATTTTGTTAGATGTGGGCAGAATTCATAGGATGCTATTACTTCATAGTAAAATCTCCTATGTATTACCCATTTACAGAAAGGAATGGATACTCAAGAGAAAACTAATATATCCATTAGACACCTAGGTAATAAAAGTTCATGATATACTAAATAAGCAAGAGACACTTAACACCCAGGATACCCTAAATGTGCACAATCAATATTCTTGAGGTCTTATTTCTATCACCCATTGGTGCTACCAAGGGTTTCTCAATTTCTGACCTATTGACATTTAGGCCAGATAATTTTTTTTTTTTGTCTTGGGAGGCTATCTTATGCATTACAATACATTTACCATTATAGTATATTTATATTTAGGGTAGAAGCAGACTGCCTGTTACACATTAAATACCAGTACAGCTCCAACACACCTCAGTCATGACAGTAAAAATGTCTCCATACATAACTAACTGTATACTAGGAGAACACTCTGGTTAAAAGCAACTGCTAACATTCATTCTTGTCCCTTATGGTCTCTGTCCAAAAATCACAAATAAAACTACGAGTATTTGTCAGGTTAATTGGCATGCTACAGCTGCTGAGCAGGCATACTTGTCCTGTGTCTTTCGGATACAACAAGTGGGTGCCACTATTTCAGGGCACCTGCTATCTGTGAGACTTGAACAAACTTTAACTCTGATCCTCATAACCACATTATCAGCAGGGAAGACAGGTGCAACAGAGAAACAGGAAATATGAATACTGTATACTCCAGGATTAGCAGGCATGCTCCTTCTCATCCCCCTGTACCCTATCCTGAATACAGGATATGCCCATCTCTTTCCTCTTATTTCTCACAGTGTGCTTAAGTTAATTTAGCAAACTGTTGCTGAGAGCCATAGCCAAGTAGGAATGACGCATGGCATTTTGCTTTGAAAGGTGACCCTGCTCAGGGATTAGGGTGGCTCCAGGTTTAGGGTGGATCCTGCTGGATTAGGGTGGATCTAGGTTTAGGGTGGATCCTGCTGGGCGTATCCTGCTACCTCAGGCGCCCGCTCCTTGAGTTCCCGTGGAGTTCTCAAGGGGTTCTGAGAGTATTTGGTACGCAGAGCCCGGTGGAGGGTGTGTATTTTCCCCAGAACGTGCGTGTAGAGTGCCGGGGAGASTTCGAGGAATAAAGAGTTGCTGTTGGAATCTACAAGGCTTTTGTGGTGGCTCGGTTATTTTGTGCCCAGACAGACTGCGGCAAACTGTGAGTTGAGGATCTGAATTTGGTTTATGGAAGTTTTCTGCCTCCTGACCTCTGGGAGAGCTCTCCTGATAGCATACCAAGAGGCTACCATTGCACCAAAATACGTTTCCCACATCAGGGCACTTCAAGGGTTGGCTCATGTGGTAGCTCTGTATCAATTAATGCAACCAAGAATATGTTCAACTTTCTGCTCTGGCATTAATCAGTACAGCGGTTGACCTGTTCTCTTAATTCGCTGTTCTCATGACCTATAATTTTGCTGTTAATAATTGAAAACATCTCATGAAGATTAAAAATATCTTGGTAGGGCTGAGGTTGGCTCAGTGGTAGAGCACCTGCCTTGCATATGAGGTGCACTGGGTTTGATCCTTAGCACCACATAAAAATAAATTAAATAAAGGTATTGTGTCTACAACTTAATTTTTTTTAAATATTCCATGATTTTAAAAAAATTCTTGGTATTTCTTTGAAAGAATGAGAAAACACTTAACACAAAGCACCTAACATTTATATTCTCTAGTATCTTAAGCAAGAATTACATTACATGACCACACCTAAACCAATTCTTTAACAAGGACATTTGTCTCTGAACAATCAAGATTCAGCTCCCTGACCTCCTCTGCACATCCTGACTTCTCAAGAGAGTTGAACAATATTTCAAAAATTTCCAAAGGTTTCTGACAAAATAGTGAAGCAGAACAGTAAAGATTTGCCTTTAACAAAACTAGTAATTGCTACAGCATCCACAATGCACCCTGTTAACCAAACCCAGACCCCAAACAAGCCCACAGCTAAAACAGAAGAGGTGGCAGCCAGATTTTTGCAAAAGTCAGTCCCCTGGCCTTGCTACCAGTCTGAAACAACTGCCCCAGAAGTGGGAGAGAAACACTACCACAAAGAGGCAGTGTTTATTAGCACACCCAGCCAGGTTCCTTCTCTGGGGAATCTGAAAGAGTAATCTGGGGGGGAGGAGGGGGGTAAAGGGAACAACTTTCAGCTGATAAAAGAAAGAGAAGCAGAAAGAGTGAATAGTAGAGTAAAGGCCCCAAATCTCTGCAGCTGAAGTCCATGAACCCAAAACAGTCTATCCCTACTGTTGGGCATATCTGGGATCCTATCCCCCTCACTGTCACAAGAGTAAATCCCCATTATGGAGCTTGCATAAATGAAATCAAAAGCACCTAAGTGAAACAATCCACAGAGGATAGCAGTTGTAGCAGTAGTAATAGCAATAATAATTTTTTTAAAACACAATTTTCAAGTCTTCCAGGTTTTCAAATTTCAAGGGAACATTGTCCTTTGAATTATAAAATCTAGGCATTAAGAGAGCATGAGTCACTGCAGGAATGTAATTACAGCAAAGAAAAACACTCTGCTGGGGAATTATGCAGCTATTTCAACCAAGCCTCTATATCTACAAGATTTGATAGAAAAGGCTCCATGTAATTTAAACCAAAAACAGTCCCTGCAATTTGGTTTTGTTTGTTTGCAGTATTGTGAAAGTATGCTAAGTATTGTTATTTTAATTATTAGGCTTGAAAAACCTCCTATTTAAAATGCCACTGTTCTTTCTACTGAACCATAAAATCCTCCTTACCTCCATCAAGTCTGAGAACACAAGTAAATTTCTTGAAGCCTCCTGAAGTAGATAAAATCAAAACTACCTGCTCTTCTTTTCCTTAGAACATCATTATGTATTGTTCAGTGAGGATCTTCTTATGTCATGGTAAGTGGAGAAAAACAGAGGATCTCTTTAGCATAGAAGTTTTACCTCACTGTAAGTGGATAAGGTAGAATTCACTCCATGATAACAGCTTATTCAATACTGATTGATATGTGTGAATGCTTGTGACCTTTGAAAGACAGAAATAAAACCATTTTCAATCAAATTCTAAAGGCTACTCATTTTCTAAAGGCAGAGATGGTTTTAAATTAAAAATGTATTCTGAGCTCCCTCACACACTTTATTTTCAATTACATGCCATAAGAAGCCTGGAATAAGCAAAACAAATACAATGTAAACATCTTCAGTCATAATAATGATTATCCTTTGTCTAGTGAGCAACTCATGAATCAGAGGCAGCTAGTACAATACAAAAGTTTGGAGTGCATTTGATTTTTCCATCTAAAACCTCTGCCATTTACTAGCTGTATAATGTTGGYCA